GAAGCACTTGTGTGAACCCTTTCTTTGGAGTGATCTTGTGAGGTTATTCTCTTAGGGTATTTGGACTTAATTATAGTGTTTACTCTAATTTTGTACTCTTATTGTTATAGTAAATTGCTCCTCTCCGCTTGTGGACGTAGGTCACTTTGACCGAACCACGTTAAATTTGTGTCTTTTTTATCTACTTTAATTGTCGTTATTATCAACTTTCATTGTCTTTGTTATTGTCATTATACCGTTGTTTGGCTAAATTTCGCACTACCCGGGTTCCCGATCCTAACAAATACAACAGTTGAATTCTTGCTCATTTTGGGAAATTTTTCTATGTACTTTATGTTGAATATTTTGATATTTAGAGAACTTACGATGAGAATTAGGGTTTGTTAGATTAACTGTATTCTTCTTTTAAATTGTTGTTGAGATAGGTAGATAAATTTTTGCTTTTTTTCCACAATAGATGATTTTTATCTGCTTTGTATGATTCCGTAAATAGCACCTTTTATTTATAAGTTGTATCTAAATCACATGCATAGTCATTGATGTTGCAGTTTCATGGTAAGCTTTCTTAATTTAACAAGGTAACCCTGATAATTTATTTAGGTATAAATACAAATGTATTAGTAGGAGTACATGTATTTGAATTTGAACTCAAATCATATTCATTGAACTTCAAATATGATAATAAGAAAGAAAGGTAAGAAAATTTGGCTCTCGCTTACAAAGCAAGAATTACTTATTTTTCAGTTCTCTTAGTAAGTGACCAAGTATACAAAATTATAGACTAAAAGAACAGTACACTAAGACATATGAAATACAGTAAAGCTAGTGCGAGATAAAATTCTAATTGAACTTGAATCACACGATTGTTTGACTTTATGTGTGCTAAAGAATCCTAATACCAGTCAATAGCTTTTCCAATTCAAGTTTGAATGTCGTCTACCAATTAAATACTGAATACTAGAATCTTGTGCAAGTCTGACCTTTTAAATCAAGTTGTTTAGCGTTGTCTACAATTAGAGAATCCTAAAACCAAAGCCATCCCAATTTCAAGTATGAGTGCTGACAATGTCGTACGTGCACAAGCAGGGGCAAATCCAGCCCTTTGGTACCGGGTCCATCTGAACCCGCTGCTTTTGACGCGAAACACAAATTTATGTGTAAAAGTTCATTAAAATTGCAACGAATAGTAGATATTCATAACTTTAAAAATATAATAGATTCAAAGCTAAAACCCTAAAAGTTGAGCCCACAGTGTTTAAATCCTGGATCCGCCTCTCTGCATAAGCTATAAAGTTTTTACATGAAAGGCACAATTAATTTTCTTATATTAGGACGTTTTATAATTAATCTCTTACAAAAAACTACTTGCATTTTATTTAAGTATAATTTCACATATCTCCCTCCAAGTTTGGCTTGTAACACTAATATTCTTCCATGCAATTTACAATATAAAGTTTGTCTCCCTTATTTTTATTTCTTAGCTTACTAAATATTTTATACTATTTGTAATTGATGAGCCATTAATATTTAAAGTCTACTATGATTTGGCTAACGAGAATTATCATATTTATTTCTAAGACTAAAGACTTTCTAGGAAAAGTTTCAGAAGTCAATGAGTACAAATTAAACTCCACCAAGTCGTTTTAAAATTGAGATTCGAACTCATTAAAATGTACCAACATAATTCAATAATACCCAATTGAAACAAATTACAACTACACAAATTTAATATTTTTAACCCAAGCTCCAAGTTTCTTCAATGGCTTTAATGAATCTTCTTCACAAAAGCACAGAAGTGTTAGCTACAAAAAGGATTTAGCGCTAATATTGGTAGCATATTACGAGTAATTGAATAATATTGTTAGTATTTTATAAAGTGGTTAATACCCGTAGTATTTTTGCTCTGAACGACCAAACTGGATAGTTTTCTTTTTTTTTTTTAAAAAATAAGTTGGTTTGATCTGGTTTGTAAATTTGACAAACCGACAAAATTAACTGAGCTGTCTTTGACTAACCTTAACAAAGAATTTATGTGATCCACCAACCAAATTTCAAGATTTGGAGAATCCAATTCCTAACTGGTAATAACTTTATATTAACATTCTTTTTGGTAGGTACTTAATGAACGAGATATTATATAATGTTGTGTATACATTGTAAAAAACTCATGTAAAATTCATAAAGTTTTTCTTTTGCTACAAAATATGGCCAAGGCTTCGATGACTGTGCTTTTGTTGGTTGTCTTCTTGGTCGTTTCTTTATTTTTTTGAGAATAAGGATAATATTGCATTAATACTAAGGTGGTTCAGATGACATATCACCCATACAAGTGTCGTGTAAGACACTTTGATTACCTAAACTAGCTAGCATATTACAAGCATCATACGAAATTTGTTTAACAAAAACTACAGATCCTTCCTTGTCTTTACTTAATTGTTGCATTACAAAAAAAAGGTGGACTTGCTAGTCGATAAGCTTTGTCAAGGATAGGCAGCTTCATTGCTTCCTTTGCTAACAGGTGTGCAGTAGCATTTCCTTGGCGGAAATTATGTCTAATGAGCATTTCCCTCCCTTGGAGAATGAATGACCTGTAATAAAGAAAGATAGGGTTAGAAACGTTTGATTCCGAAAGTAGTAGTTTCACTGCTTCTGTTGCGTATGATTCAATTTGTAGTGGAAATAGGTTGAGGTCCATGGCTAGCTTCAGTCCCTCTTGTATGGCAAGTGTCTCAGCTTGTAGAGCGTTGGCAGCGTGAGTATTATTTTGAAATCCTGCCACCCATGTCCCGTTGCTACTCCTGAATACTCCTCCCAAACCTGCCTGCATGTTAGTTTCTAAAAAGGCTCCATCCACATTTAATTTATACCAGTATTTTGGAGGTTTGTACCAACTGATAGAAACAGAGATTTTATGCTTCTTAACGATGTCTTTGCTTGCTAGTAATTTAAATTCAGTGGCTTGTTTTATTATTAAGTTGCTGCTTAGGGGCGAATTGTTGTTTTGATGATTGTTTTTATTTCAATTTTTTCAATATCCCCAGATTGTAAAAGGGAATAGGTCTTCCCATTGAATTAGTTTGTGAGCTCTGGGAGAGCATGATTTGAGAGTGAGGAGCCAGTGCATGTTGTTCTTTAGGAGAGGGGTATGTGATGTTGGGCATATTTCGATATATGTTGATGTTACTTTACCCATGTTTTAACCGCTTTTTGATGCTATTTGATCTTTAAAATGCCCAACATGGTTTAATTATTGGTCTTATAACTAATTGAGTTGTGTGTGATGATTTAGGGTGTTTGGAGTGCAAAAATATGAAGAAAAGGTGCTTTAGCTAGAGGAAGAGGGGTTGGATGCGTCGCATCCAATCTAGAGAAAAAAATCAGATTTCGTGCACCTTTAGCAGTGAAGTCGGCCCATAGCATCCGCCTTAGCATCCGCACCTGGGCAAAGCTGAGATGGAGGAACAAAGGGTGGATGCGACGCATCCACCCTAGCATGCGAAGCTGAGAAGTGGAGGACGAGGTGGATGCGACGCATCCACCCCAGCATCAATCCCTGAAGCTGAGTCGGATTAGGAATAGGAGAACTTGGGCCCACGACTTTTGTACGCAATATATAAGCCAAAAATGCCTCTTTTAGGTCATCTAACATATTGGGAAGGGAGAAAAAGCCACGACAAAGCTGGAGAACCACAGAATTCATCTTGAGTTCTTGTTTTTCCTTCTTTTATTGATTCTCATGCACTCTTGTGAATTATTTGATGATTGCATGAATATGAGTGGCTAAGAACCCTATTATTCTAGGGTCATGGGCGATACATGAATGTTGATGTTTGAAGTTTAATTTGACAAAGTTGATTCTATCATATCGGGTTGTTTATTTAATTCTGTTTTTAATCAATTTGCTGAGTAGCTAACAGTGAATTACTATCTACGAATCTAGAGTTGAACTCGAAAGTGAGAATTCTAGATTGCATATAGAATTAAATAGAGCAAGTTCTTGAACCCGGACATCGGGGAACAGATTCGCAATTAGGATAGAAATATACCTAATTGTCTTGCTCGGTTGAAATATAGGAAGTGTAAATGCATTCTTGTTAATCTTAATTCCATAGACATATAGGCATTAAGTTAGCTTGAATAGGCGAGTAAGAACCCGACAAATTCTTATGAGTAATATCAACCCTGTCAATCAACAATCCAGATAAATCAATTAGTTATTTTAAGCTAAGAATGCAACATGATCGTTAGATAACCCGTGACCCTAGAATATTATCTCCAATTGATTGTTATTCGAAATCATTTAAGTGTTGTGGTTGATCTTTAGTATTTCATTACTTGATAGTTTTTAGGTAGTAAATTAGAAAATTATCTATTTTGTGAGAAATCGCTTGAATCGATAAGTTATTTGAGTTTGAGTTAGTCAAAAGTTAATCATAAGTCTTCGTGGGAACGATACTCTACTCACTACTATATTACTNTTATACTTGCGTGAGTGTATTTGGTCGCAACAAGTTTTTGGCGCCGTTGCCGGGGACCTAGAAATTAGCTACTTGA